GAGATTGATCTGAGCAGCGTCGTCTTCAATGACATTGAGTCCACTCAGTTTCTGAACCTGTGGAATGGAACGACGGGAGAAACCCTGAACACTTACAGTAGGTCGCGTCCAACCCGGTCTAATTTATCTGATGCAAATAATTCCCACAAGTGCTGTCCGCAATATCGTCTGTTCTCGAGCCGAGTGGTACGGCAAGCGCCAACGCCGCTCTTGGCTATGCCGCGATGGTCAACTTTGACGGTTGGGACTACGTTGATTCGACCAGTCCGTTTGGACATGCATTCAATATCATGATGGGAGCGTGCTGACCTGAAAGTATTTTACAGGAGGAATCATTCCAATTACGCTGGTCGATCCAGACTTCGCAGCTAACAACAAAGGGTTTCTCACGACCAACCTCAAGCCCTATCCGCCTGGCACCGATTTCAACTTTTCGATGATCCAGCAGGGATTAACTGCCGAAGTCTCTTGTCACAATCAGCTGCTCGACGAGACCACGGAGCCACCGTTGACGCGATGGATATCCACATTCACCGTCGAACAAGGTGGCCTCGATGTCCCCTACACTGTCATAACTGCGTCCACCCTCTGTGAAGGAGAAATAGAATCCACGAGTGAGCTTAGACCTACTGTATCTATCTGATTGTTGTTCCTCATCTATCCCCAGGCGTGGTGTCTAGTACAAATGACACACTTCTTTCTCCGCCGATCTGCCTGACCACCGATAATGCGGGAACGACGACATACAGTATGATAACCTCGCTGGCAAGGGGCTGTCGGGATTCGAATTTCGGATAGGGGGTAGGGGGGGGGGGGGTCCCGACCGAGGGCTTAAAAATCTTTTCATAGTAGATTTTAAAATAAGCTAAAACTATGTTTAAAACATGTTTAGACCCATGGAAGGCTATGTGGGACATATATTGGGTCCCTGGAGGTGTCTGGGAACTCCTACTGCCGTTGTAGCCTGCACAGAAATATTTTTATAATTTGGAAGCCCTTGGAAGGGCACCAGAAACTGTTCAAAACTCATATTTGAATTGGTGTTTGCTTGAGATATTATGTCCTACTGCTGATATTCACCCGAAGACATGCACGCAGAATATATTATACGTCGGCTTATTCGGGCGGGAAGCGGCCATCAAGTGGCGATGCAGATGCACATGACCCGGAGCAACGGTCCGGCGCTACCCGTGGGAAACTCCTTCCCTATATAGGGGGGGAAGGGGGGGGGGTCTGGCGGACGACCTTAAAAATCTTTTCGACCCACCTTCCGTTTTTCGAATCCCGACAGCCCCTTGCTCGCTGGTTCCACTAACCATTTAACTAAAGGCCCCTTCAAGCTGTAATTATCGACGGCACGGGGGGTTACGCCCAGCCTGATGGCTCATCGGTGGTCTGCACCGTGATTCCTCAAACCCAGGACTACGTCGTTACCTACGCGGAGAAATATTTCATCTACACGAACCTGTATTCCAAGCCGGTCGACCCTCAAATCGCTCCTGCTCCATTTGGAATTGGAGCAATAGCCGCTTTCTGTTTGACTCAAGTCTTCGCTTACGGTCAAAGTCAGATTCGCAATGTCGTAGGCGATTCCATGGCAAGCATTTTCACCACTGACAGCACGAACGTCCCCATGACAACACTTTGGGTGCCTTCCGTCCTCTCCAAGTTACCAAGACATCGCTAACGACCCCTCCCATTGCAGGCAGCATACATACAGGGTATTGTGGAATTTGCAGGGACGGTAAGTAATATTCTCATACAATGAATCACATATTTTATATCCTGACCTCGGGCCCGGAGGCAATAAAAACCGACCTCTCGGATAATGACGGTCCACTTAGCGGGACCCCTCCGTCCACAATGATCCGCGCAATAAGCGGCACAGCGCTGACAACGTGCTTCGGGTGGGAATATAATGAGGCAATCGGCCCAGTGATTCTAATCCCCAGTACATTCATCGCCGTCGCATCGATCCTCATCGTGGTCTTTGCTCAATTAAAAAACCGCAAGATCCAGATGCAGCATGCGGATTTCGACCCCAACGATCCGCTGTTGCTTATGGCGGCTGCGTCGGCGGGGGGGATAAGCGATACGTTCCGCGGGTTGGCGGAGGGGGACGTCAAAGAAGGAGGGTTGAAGCAGGTGACGCTCGGGCAAATTGGCGACAAGGATGGATTTGTCGAAGTTGTGTGAGGCGACGGAGGAGATTTGGATTGTCTAATCCACCACACTCTTTCATTCGTTGATTCATATATTGGAGGTATACGGTTGGGTTTAATTTAGATATTCACTGGGCTAGCTACATGGTAGTTATTAGCGTTTGCGCTTTGACGCCACGTTCATTGTACCATTTACTGTAAATTCTAGCATGTTTTAATGCGTGCATTCACCACCCTCTTATTTGTAGAATGCATCCTTCAAATGATTTTGTCCCCAATTAAGAGGGCTGGTTAAACGCTCGTGAGCTCGAGATGATCATTTAAACAATTGAACCAAAGATCAAAACGGCACACGTCTTCGATCTGACTGAAGCGTGGGAAAAGTGAACCCCCCAGTGGTCGCAGGGCCCGGGTCATATGGGCTGAGCCTGCTGTTAAAACCGCAGTGTTTACATCGAGTTTCAACCCCCGCAAAGGAACTGGGAAGAAACCTGTTTCGAGAAGGAGATTCCGAATAAAAAAAGGTATATGTGCAAGTACAAGCGTGTAGGCAATGTGACAGGCGATTCCAACACGAGAATGGCATTTGTCCCAAACTTGAGGAGGAAGGGAACCCAGTCCCCGCCTTTGCTGCGAGTGTATTCAATGCGGGGTTGATCTCGACGCACCGGGAGATTGTTGCGTACGCAGCCGACGGTGGTGAGGATCTGTACATGATCGTTGGATGGATGTTCGAATGGGCCCCTTTCTAGAGATAAGCCACAGCGAGGAAACATGCATACGAAGAGCGGCACCAAGAAACGCACATATAAGAAGAGCATCTGTAATGTACCACGCCCAAAAATGAGATGTTCGGCGGCGGGTGCCCGTTCTCAGGGCGGTCAACGTTGGCGCAGCAGAGGCGGTGACGAGGTCGCTTGCGCTGCGGACGATACACTTCAAGATATGGGTGACGAGAGACATTTCCTTTTTGAAGTGGTGAGTGTGGTAAATGGGTAGAGGATGGGATGATTCATGAATGGATATACGGTTAGGTTTGATCCTGGTGCGTGGGTCGAAAAAAGGCTTACAGCCCGACGCCGATCCCAATGTGGGCACTTTCGCAGAAAAAAAAACGCACGGTCCGATCTTGGCCGCTGACGAGATGGACTTCTGAGACTCCAAGTCCGATCCTCATGCGCGTACATTTCAACTCGAAAACGCATTGAATTCCCGAACGTTCAATCTGTCGCTGGCAAAAAATCAGCGCAAACCACGGATATCGCGCCACCCTTCAAAATTGGCCTTCTCGTGCTTTGAAAGTCCGATCCAGAATGCGGATGAAACTTAGGGTGATATAGTATGTGCAGCCAAAAACAAGGTGCGAAAACAGCAAAATCCAACGTTTTCAGATCAACGGAGTTTTAGCTTGGACCGGTCGAGAAAAGCATCCATCGTTCGGAAGATTCGGTATTTTATTTCGCCAGGAGCCTGGGGTAAAGATTTCCCGTCCAAGACAGAGATAAGTAGGTTGCTTTCTGGGCAGAGTAATTGGGCTGCTTGGCTGACTACCGTGGAGGGGCCTCGATACGCTGAGACGCACAAGAATTCCGGCGAAGGATCTTGGGTGTCAACGGATCGTACTTGAATATCTGCTTGATTCGACTTGAAGAAACCAGGGAGGATATACAGATTTCGAGCGGGTTTCAGATGATTCACCTCAATTGTGGCAGCATGGACCGGCACAGATTCGATGTGGGGGCAGAAGGAAAGGCAGGATCGGACGTTCGGACCCGACGCCCACGGACGATCAATTCGATCAACTCAGCCTCTTGCGCATTGCGCAAGGCCTTGTACTTCACCATAACTTCCGCTCCAATGCGCAGGCCTATCGAAAATCTTGGACTGCCAACGTCAGTTAACCCGAGATGACAGGAAAAGGGCGAAAAAGGCATCGGCGACGGGTCCTGCTCGTACGGCCTCGAAGACGGCGACGACATCCTCATGTCCCACTGGAACGGCACCATCATCGGCCCAGGCCACACCGTACATGAGAACCGCATCTACAGCTTGAAGATTACGTGCGGCGACCAATACCCCGACCGGCCCCCGACCGTGCAGGTCCGTGCCGCTGCGTGCTCACACCCACGCTGACGCTCACCCTAACGCGTTCGCCCGCCCACAGTTCCTCTCCCGCGTCAACCTCCCCTTCGTCTCCCAAACCGACGGCATGGTCGACCCCGCAAAGCTCCCCGTCCTCGCACACTGGACACACCGCAGCAGCCTCGAGCTCATGTTGGTCGAGATCCGCAAGTGCGTCCACGCGCCTGTCCTGCCTTTATTTATTTCATCTTTGCGTTCTTCTTTTCACCTTTCCGTTCCTTTCCTCCACATCTTTCCTAGGCTCCACATTTCATTCCGTATCTTTGCCTTCGCATGTCTTCCTTTGCCTTGTTTTTGTTTTTGTTACCACCCACTAACGCACACACAGAGAAATGGCCACCCAGGCAAACCGCAAGCTCCCCCAGCCCCCCGAGGGCAGCATGTTCTAGACCCCCCTCTCCTCTCCTCGCGCGTGGGTGCGTTTGCGTTGGGCGTTCGCTTTCGCGTCAATGGGCGTGGGTGTGGGTAGGGTGTGGTGCGAAGAGGGTACGAAGGAATGCTGGGAACACAAGAGGAGAAGGGGAGGTGTACGATAGGATAGACTCTGGCGGCAGTGTGGTGGTGTATTATACAATGCGACGAACTCTGTACATGTGGACATGGCTCGTCAAATCTCGAACCCATTCTTTTCCTCGGACGGAATGAAGCGCAACAGTGAACCGGGCGCAGGCCAAAAACGACACGGACCCCGAGTCAGGCTCCAAGCGGGAGTCGAACCCACATCTGCCTCGAAAATGTTTGAAGCCGATTTTCTGAAATTACGAGACCGGTCTACCACTGACCCATTGGAGCTTGAGGGTTCAGTGGAGGTGTACAATAGGATAGACTCTAGCGGTGGTGTATTCAATGCGACGGAACTCACTCTCTCACGATGAACTCTGTACATACACGGTTTCTCAAATCTCGAACCCACATTTCCTTTCCTTTCCTTTCCTCGGAGGCAAGGACACTCCTCCATTCCATTCCTTTCCTTTCCTTCCGCCGCATCAAACCGTACGTGAACCGCCCGGGCCAAAAGACTTCAAGTAAAAACCAACGCAAAGTCCACAAACGCCCCAAGCGGGAATCGAACCCACCTTTGCCTCGAAAATGTCAGGAGACATGTGCGACATTTCGAAACACTGACCCATTGGAGCTTGGGGTTTCATGGGAGGTGTACGAAAGGATAGACTCTAGCCGTGTGGGTGGGGTGTATTGTACAATGCGACGAATGAACTGACACTCACGACGAACTCTATGGCTTCTCAAATTTCGACCCCACATTTCCTTTGCTTTCCTCGGACGCAACAACACTTCCGGGCCCTTTTTCTTTCCTTTCCCCCCATCCACCGCAACGAACCGTACGCGTGCGCGTGCGCCCGGGCCAAAAAGCAAACCATAGCGAGTCCACGCTCCAAGCGGGAATCGAACCCACGTCTGTCTCGAAAACATTCACGAACCTAGTGAAATTTCGAAACCAGTCTACCATTGACCCATTGGAGCTTAGATACCTACTGTGGATATCTGGTCTCATGTGTACTGGACCCAAGTTCTTAAGTTAAATTATTAAAGCCAAGACTAAGCACTCTTCAAGTAACCTACTTATAAATCCCACCTCAGTGATCAGCGTGAACGTAAACAAATCTACATACATAACGAGCTCCATCGACGAAACGTACCCCATTGAATCCATCACCAAAACAAAAATCGAAAAATGAGCCAGACGCTCCAAGCGGGAGTCGAACCCGCATCTGCCTGCCAAATTCCATGCATCCTGCAAATCGCATCAGGCCAGTCTACCATTGACCCATCGGAGCTTAATTGCATGTGGGCATTCCCATGAATACTATACAGCTTCCATCCAAATGTTTCTCACTGGCTTCAAAGTTCATCAGGCTGGTCTGCCACTGCAGTGACCCATTGGCTTGGACTCATTAGCGGGATTCAAACCCAGGGCCACATCTGCCTGCCAAGTTTGAGATACTTCAGGCCAGTCTACTACTGACCCATCAGAGCTTCTCCATACCTGTAACTGACAGCCTCCTCCCTCCCAACTTCTGAAGCTTAAGCCTACTTCCCGCAACTGGATCAGCACCCAATTGAGGGGAAGGTACACATATGTAGGTGTACACATGGACTATGGCCCACTCAAAAAAAAAGAAAATGCCAACAGAGCTAAGTAATACATGCTCCAAATGGGAGTTGAACCCACGTGAAACTATCCGAGCCCAACTTGAGTCCTGGGTCCAACCAATTTTTTACTCAAGTCTTGAACTTAAGTCGCACTGCGACTCAAATCATTTTCTGATGTTTCACGCGGGCACGTGCTGGGCACGTCTGCTTTCAACTCAAGTTGTGCCGACAATTCAAGTCCGCAAGGTGACTCAAGTTAGCATGTTGACTTGAGCTACAAAAGATATATATTCCATCTGTAAATGGCAAATGAAATATGTCTCAAGTCCTGTCCCAAACGCAAGTCCCCAACACTCAAGTTGTCACAGAGAGGAAGAAGAGAAAAAGTGAGGATGAAAGAGGAACACCCCTGCACATGTATTGTGACCTGCCTCAATCAAACAATGACAAAAAACTCGGAAACTGCACTGTGTGATGATTGGTGAAAATGTGGAGAATATGTGGGTGGCACACACACCGCAATATCGGACGGACAATTGGAGAGACAGTGAACAACAGCAGGAAGTCTGTGACGACACGGGAGGCAGCTATTTTGGATTTCCAATAGAGAGTTTGCGCAGAAGCCATATGAGCGACGTTATGGCTTTTGGGCCGTAGATCGCGACTTTGGTCCCCACCCATCAAACTCTTTATGGTAAATCTTGCACGTGACGTCCCGAGCCTCCGCAAGCACTCCGGTGTCGTGATTTTCAACTTCAAGTGGAACTTCAGTTTAGCGCGCATTTGTGGCCTGATTGAAAGCTTCAAATAGTTTGTCGTGGAATTCATTCAATAAATGGATTGGCAGGGACAGAACTACAGAGCATCACAACTTTACATGATCAGTACTAAGTACTGGTGGCGTGTCTTGAGGGGAGACAAAGGGCACGCGACAGAACGTGTCAGGGCGTGTCAAAGCGTGCCAGTCACAGATTTTAGTGTGATATGCTTAAGATGCGAGCCAATGTAGGCCCGGAAGGGCCTGCCCGTGGGTGCAACGCGGGTGGCATGGGTTTCTACTCACCACCTGAGTTGAGCAAATAAAAGGTGCTGGGCTATCCAGAGTAGGTTAGGGAGGAAGAAATAGATAGGAAGGTGAGCAATATCCTGCATGCGAAAATGCCGGTGGAGGAAGAGAACACACGGCGATGGACAAACAACTCCCCACAAGTCTCCGGATCTCCGGAGCTCACGTGCAACCGTTACTATATAGGGAAACTGATCGTGGGGACCAATCTCAAAAGCTTTGGGCCGTGCACGTCATATGGCTCCGCACGCCAAAATATGATGCAAATGCAGTGCAAATGGCTTTTGGAGCCATTTGCCTGCCAAATTTGCGCACGGTCTGAAAGCCATGACGTGGGTCATATGGCTAGTGTGCAAACAGGTTAATAGGAAGCCTGTGGTGGCATCATGGCAATGCCACTCTATGAATGAGCCAATAATTGTGTTTTGACCTGGAGGGGAAGGGGATTATCAAAATAATGACAGAGGAAACGAGTAACTGAATGTGCACTGGTAGTTAATACAGCTTCAGCGATGAAAGCTAAGAGAGACCAAAGACTAAAGTCAGGGTCTAAGGGATGCAATGGACTTCAAAGAATGCACGCACAGATTCCGGGTATGCACTTGCCCAAAAGAGGTGGACAAGGCAAGAGCGTTGATGCTTGCACCATCGAGCGATGTCATCTTGGTAAGGTGGTGGCAGGAAGAAAGAGGCTTTGGAGAACAGTGGATCAATCAATCATCAGTGTAAGTTGTGTGATCATCAAACATTCTTTTCTTTCATCTCTCATCCCCCCTTTCTGCCAGCTGCTCAATTACCAGCGTGACGCCCTCCGCACAAGTCAGATGGCGACTCAAGTCGAGCCGTCGAGCCATCGTGGGACTTGATTAGGAGACACAAGTCGAGAACCTGATCTCACTTGAGTTGGATCTCACGCTGACTGACTTAAGTCACTTGAGTATCACTCTAGTTGCGACAAGGACATGAGTCAAGGGATGACTCAAGTATTTTACATTTTTTGTGCTGTATAAAATATTATCTCTCCGACTTGAGTGCCAACTCGAGTCATTCACTTGAGCAAAAAACCGGTCCAACCGCCCTTGACTTAAGTGGGACTCAGATATTAGCTGGACCCACGTCTGCCTGAAAATATGTTCCATCCGACCTTCAAATCAACCAGGCGGGTCTAGACCCACTAGAGCGTCATCCCTGGGCTAGACTGATGATATGGTGGTGGTGGTGTATTATATGAACGAACTCCACTAGGCACTTCCTTTCAACACATTGTCACTTCTGTCCTTTTCCATTCGCACGCGCCTTTGTGTATGTATGTGTTGAACAAAAAACACTGAAACATATGCATGACCAAAAGCAGACATACCACATGTACGCTCCAAGCAGGATTCGAACAAATGTCTGCCTGCTGCACAGAGGAACCTTTAGAAATTAGCAGGCTAGTCTACCACTGACCCATTGGAGCTTCTCCCATCAAGGTCATGAGGATGCATATGATATGTCACCTCCAATTTGCCACCACTCAGTTCTCGATTTCAGATCTCAGGACCTGTGCATGAACACACAGCCCTTTCGCAGGGATCCCTAAACATGCCCGAGCATAAATCAAGGACTTGCGTAAGTGAAAAAGTATGCGCCGATCGCGCCCCCTCTAAAAACAAAAAGGCAGTACATACAGGCCAAGGATCACGCTCCAAGCAGGAATCAAACTCACATCTGCCCGAAAATCCACGATGTACAAGAAGTTTACCAGGCCGGTCTACCGTCGACCCATTGGAGCTTCTGCACCCTTGAATGGTCGGGGAGGATATGACAGGTGAACTCTGACATCCTCCCTGCCCACTTCCCAACTCCTGCCACTCGGTTCTTGGATCACGGGGAACCGTAACTATGTATGCAGACAAATCAAATAAGTGAAAAGTATACATCAACTGCGGCTCGCCTCACCCCCCACAAAAAAAAGAGCAGCGCACAAGCTACACTCTGAGTGAGAATCAACCCCACATATGTCTCTGTAAATTGCATGGAAGAATACCCCAGCTTGAAGTTGGTCTACCATTGATCAATTGGAGCTTCAAATTCCATGGTCCAAGTGTGGATGTGGACTAGCCGAATGACAAGGACGCATGCACTCGCCAGTCTTCAAGTTATAACCTCAACTCGGCACCGAGCTCAGTGAGCGGTGAGCAACCAACAAGCTATGCACCAGCACCCCCAAGAAGAACTGAAAAAAGGGTGAAGATCTTCATTATGCTCCACGTGGGAGTCGAACCCGCCTCTGCTGTTTCCTCCAGGTGAAATTAACAGGCTGGTCTATGGCTGACACATTGGAGCTTGTCATGGGCACTGGAACACCACCTTCTTTTCTACCCTAATAATCAAGCAAGCATATCTCCTCCATCAAGCAAAGTTGGTTGTTTGAACCAACACTAAATGAGGGCAGTACAACATAGATAGTGTTAATGGCACCAACAGACATAAAAAGAGAGAGAGAGAGAGAAGCCTCCAAAACGACAAGCTCCCCGTGACTGATGCTCCAAGTGGGATTTGAACCCACATCTGCCCGAAAATCTGGTCAACGTTCAACTCTAAATAACCAAGGCCAGTGTAGCGTTGACCCATTTCTAACCCTTCAAATTGTCGGGGAGTAGATGTTTATAAAGTACAGGACTTGGTCCATCCTTATACTTACACCCAAATTGAATGTACCCGAGTACGCTCAATGGCATTGAAGCAGCAAAAACACCTTATTCTATTCTTACATCTCTTCCAACGGGCATGCGAAGTTTGTTTGAAAAAATGCTACTATTACTACTACAACATGAAAACAAAAACAGCAAATCACAAGAAGGATTCAACTCGTTAGCTTCAAACGTTCCAAGTGGGCTTCGACCTCACATCTACCTGGGAAATTGTTGTACCACTCCACTCTACCAAGCCAGTCTCATGGGTGGTGTACATACTATAGGTGCCGACTTGTCTTGCAATTTCTTTCGACTGCAACGATTCAGAATAGCCAAGTACAGGAGATGAACCCATGAAACAAAAATGCAACCGGAAATTTTGAAACATTGACAGAATGAGAATGGTGATTGTTACTCGGTTTCATTCACGTAGTAATGAACAGTAATTTTCGTCCATCTAATAACTAAATGCAAGAATTCCCCTGCAGGAAGTTGTCTTTCAGTTCCTAAGAGCTGTATGCAGTCACATCCTGACATGTATAGATTGAACATTTGATCAAGATCGGTCTGAATCCCGATCCATTCCTTCAAGTTAGTTCAAGCTGCATATAAGGATATATATTATTTTGCGAGGTCACTCTACTCCCATCGACCCTTTTCTCAACTACAATATACATGTGATACCTGCTAGTCCCCACTGAATTGACAACGTGGCCTCGTCTCAGAGCGAAAAAAGGCTTTCTGCCGATTCAGAACAAACTTGAACTTGAACATCAGCCAAGACGCACATTGCAAACCCTCTGGTTCAATTTTTCGGTCGATTGACCTGGACAAAAAATTCTCAACGTACCATACTAATAAAGGGCTGAACCGAAAAGCTTCTAAGCCTGACAAGCTTTTGTTTACTCAGAGTGTGCCATCGCAAAAGTAATATTAATAG